CCGCGGCTCCCCTCCCGGCACCATCCTCCCCGGCAAAGTTGCCCCCAGACAGGCGGCGGGGCCTGGGGCCGGCCCGGGCAGGGTCACCATTTTCCTCCCCCTCCAGGTTGTTTGTGCCTCGCCGTCTGGCCCCCTCTCCCTCCGGCCTAGTCCGCTCCCTCCCCTCGCCGGGACGGCCCCCCTCGACCAGGCGTCCTGCCTTCCCTCGTCATCTCGCTGGAAGGGGCCCGGCTTTTCGGTCTCCGCTCTCGCTCCCTGCCTCTGTGGCCTTCTCATGACTGACTTCTCCCCTCCTTTTACACAAATAGGGGTTCTCTCTCTCTCTCTCTCTCTCTCTCTCTCTATTAGTTTGATTCCTCTCCCTCCTGTCCCAGAGGTGCCACAGCTCAGGCATAGGCGCTGCTGTCCTTTGAGAATTTTCTATTTCGTTGCCGTTCAAGGGCTCGGTGCGGGGCCGGAAGGGGGGCCATTGGACTGACATTTCCATTTAAAAACCTCTTCTGGCTAAAGCCCGAAAGGGGGTTCACAGACAGCGGTTCTCAACCTGTGGGTCTCGACCCCTGAAAATACACCCTGCATATCAGATATTTACATGACGATTCGTAACAGTAGCAACATTACAGTTACGAAGTAGCAAGGAAAATAGTTTTATGGTTGGGGGTCACCACCACATGAGGAACTGTGTTAAAGGGTCGCGGCATTAGGAAGGTTGAGAACCGCTGAAAGCTATTAATACTGTAGCTGGTCTCGGCTGGGGTTAAATTCCTACACTGGGCACCACAAGAATGTGTTAGAACAGGTTCCCTGTACAGGAGGCATCAAACCAAAATGCTCCCACTGCTCTCTTCACCCCCTTTGAAACCACTGGGAGGGGGCAAAATACATAACTGGGTGGTTCACTATGGATTTCACCATATTTAAAAAAAAAAATGCGTGCCATTATGAACCCCCTTCCTGAGAAATCCCGTGTTTCTCCCACTTCAGTCTTGGTTTGGTGTATCCATTTGCTGGTTTCACCCCTTGCAGGGAGGGGGGCCTGAGCTGCGCATTGGGGTGTTTGCCTTGTTTAAGGGAAGCGGAGTGAGGTGGGGTGCCCCGGAAGGCACTGGACTTGAGAGACTGACGATTGACTTTGTACACAGAGTCCTACTTAGTAACTGGAACCATTGTCTGTTGCTGCGATGACTTGAGTTGGCAGTTACCATCCTGTAAGATGTTTTGTGGGCAGTGTTACCTGAAGTAGTTTGAAAATGTAGCTGAGTGTCAGAAGGTGTTATCAAGAGATGATGATGCTTAGAGGAGGGCACATGTGGTACAATTGGGTACTAAATACAGTCAAGACATTAACACCATTTGTGCAGTAATCATCAGATAATTTTCTATGAAACATGTTTTATGAAAATCTAAGTTTAGCATAGAGACCATTGTAGAGACAATTCAGCCTTCTTTCATAGGCAATAAGTTCACAAATACGGGCTTTAGCTCTTAAAAGTACATGGCAGTTATATAAGAGATGTATGCTATCCTTGGCTTTTTTTTTTTAAATCATTCAGCATAAAAAGTACTTAATGCTTTTTGTGTTTTTCAGATTCTCTGAAGTTACACCCATCCCAGAATTTTCATAGAGCTGGACTATTGGAAGGTCAGCAGAATGCCTTTTTAAAGCATATTGTGTGAGTATGCAAAGGCTTTCTCTGAAATGGAGTTTAAATGAGAAAGTGTGAAACTTTGCAAACTCATACAATGTAGTTTTCTCTTAAAGAGCCTGATCCTTCTTTTAGAGCAGCTGAATGTTTCAGTGGATTTTGTTTCTGTGTTTGATGTGATTGTTAGCTGTTGTATCTGCTTTGAGAAGCCTCGAACTCCTCTTTATCCCCCCCCAAAATCATTAAAAATTATGTGTTGGGTGATCTACCTTAGAATTCCAGAATTCCAGATATTAATAAATAGCTTTTTACAAACAAACTGAATATGAAAAAGCTCAAACAAGATCATGAATATAACTAAAAGAGTGACACCAAACACATATTTAGTTTGAAAATTCACAACTTTTATATGCTAAGTATTTCAAAATGATATATTAATTATTTATTACAAAAGCATTGATGTCATTACTATTGCATTATTTTTAAAGATGAGGAAAGCCAAGTAATAGAGATGATGATTAAACTATGCTTAGAAGAAAGGGTTTTAGAACATTCTGGAAACACTAATATACTATGTAGAATAATTAAAACAACTGACTGATTACTTCAGAAAACTTTATTTGGTGTTGTTTTTAGCAATTTAAGACAAAAAAGGTTCTATTTATGTTGTGTTTGTAGTTTTTGAAGTGATTTCACATATATTATCTTTGACTCTTATAATCCTAGAATTGGACTGCAAGGATATTCATTTCCCCATTGTAAAGATGAGTAACCTAAGGCTGAAATTAAGAGACTTGTTGGGGGCGCGGGGGAGAGTCATACAGTAGCAGAAACCATGCTTTTTGTATTTTAGTTAGTGCTCTTTACCTAAAGCCAAGCTGCCATTATACAATATATATGTAACCCGTGCCCTTTGGGGGTAGGGGTCAGATTCTTAAACATTTTGTAGCCCACTTAAAAAAGGCCCTAAATATTTAAGTTTGACCTAAGTGTAGGTGTTTGCTTTCTAAATGGTAGTCTGGTATAATGGAGAAAAATGTGAGTTTTGTAATTGAGCTTAAATTTGAATACCAGTTTTGACTATTGATTAGCTCTGTGACCTTGGCAAGTAATTTTACCTCTAAAAACTTTAATAGTCTATCCATAAAAATGTACATAATCACTTAAATTTAGTGAGCTAATGTGTACGAAAATGCTTATTGCATATAAAAGGTTCTCAAATTATTGATTATACTTACAAGAAGCCCATAGATAAATATTAGTATGAAAATCGAACCTGGGACCCTTCAGTTTGCAGGCGTACGCTCTATCCACTAAGCCAAACCAGCCAGGGCAATGCTGATCTTTCTTGCTACTACCTTTTTTTCCTTAAAGATAGGAAATTAATTTTTTTTAATTGAGGTATGGTTGATATATAACATTGAATTGGTTTAAGATGTACAATGTAATGATTAGATATTTGTATATGTTGGGAAATGATCACCACAATGTCTAGTTAACTAGGTCACCATGCATAATTCTGCTACTGCTTTTTAAATTTAATTTGGTGATTGCCTGACAGTGGGAAAAGGAAAGTCTAGCTATTTTTTAAAATATGTTTTTTATTGTTTTTTAGGGAGAGAGGAAGGGAGAGGAATAGAGAGATAGAAATATCTATTCTATTTTTGCATTTTCCCTACCTTTAAAGAAGATAGTTTATACATATTTTTAAAAAAAGATGATTTACAGTTATGGTGTTCAGATTTGAAGGCTAGGATTCTTCTTTGGAGTGCCTAGACAAAAAGTTCAACTACAGAGAAGACGGTACCATTTCTTACACCTTCTGTATTGAAAAATATTTATTATGGCATGTATTGTTTGTCATATAAAAAAAGATAAAAATTAAACTAAGTGGAAGTATACAAATAAGATTAAGTAAGAGGTCATTCTAGAAATATAGAGATGTAAGATACCATGGTAGAAAATCAGATAAAACAAAAAAAATAAGCAAATTGGAAAAATCAAGTAATAAAAATGGGTTAAAAATTAAAGATGTTTTTAATAGCATGAATTAGATTATATGATGGATCTTAACTGGTTAAATAAGAACTAAACACTAATATGATACATCCTGGTATGAATTATACATTTAAGATTGGAAAATTTAAAAAGAAAATATGAAATATTACAGTGACTTAGGGGAAAATAAACTACTTTTTAAATTTTTTTTACTACCCATTACCTCTTTGATATAGTATAATGCATAATTATGCTTTATAGTTCACAAATGGAAATACTTGGTTTTTTTTTAAAACATTTTAAAAAAAATATATTTTCAGAGAAGAAGGGAGAGGAAGAGAGAGATAAAAACATTAACGATGAGAGGGAACCATTGATTGGCTGCCTCCTGCACGTTGGACCGAGCCCGCAATAGTAGCAGTGTCTTACTGACTGTATGGAATATTTCTGAATTGCCATTAGGCCTGATTTATTTCTTTTCCTTGGGTCTGTGTTAGTAAGGTAGTTAGGCCAATAACTTTTTTACATGTGAAATGTATGATGATATCTTATTGGAAAGGATTTAAAAAAATATTTAACATTAAAAATAATCTGTTGGATTCTTTTCTTGTTTAGTATCTATTAGTCTATTGATATATACCTAATAAACTAAAAGTATTATTATCGAAATAATTATGAAACTGAAATTCAAACATGTGACAAAAATCATACCTAGTTCATCCTAACATGCAGAATTTTGGATATATGGCTGCAGAACTGGGCATTTTTTTTTCTTTTTAAAATATGATTATATTAATTTTTGGAAAGAAAGGAAGAGGGAGAGAGATGAACACTGATGTGGCTGCCTTTTGCATGCCCCCTACTGGGGAATGAGCCTACAGCCTGGGCCTGTGCCCTGACTGGGAATTGAATCAGTGACCTCTCTGTGCAGAGGTGCTCAACCAACTGAGCCACACCGGCCAGGACTTTCTCAACTTCTTGCTTCTAGGATCTGTCTCTCTGATTTCCTACTATTTGTTTTTGTGCTTCTTTCTACTAGTAAACTCTGCTTTCATGATTTCTCTTCTATCCTAGAATTCTATTTTTTATTACATTAAGAGGATAGAAATTCATGTTTAATCAGATGGTTCTTGGCCTGCTCTTAATTGATTCTTGACTATACTGTAATTATTCCAGGAGTCCCCCTAAAACTTGAAAATGGTAGTACAGAAAAATATTTTTTATTATAATCAATATAATATACAGGGTGGGACAAAAGTAGGTTTATAATTGTTCATATGGAAAATAATACAATGACTAATAAGTAATAATACAATAATAAACTGTTTATTTGCCCCACCTTGTATAAAATGCCACTTTTATTAGAAAAAGTTAACTCATCAGGTTGTTTTCTATTAAGAATTAACAGGTAGTTAGAAAAAAGAAAAGATCGAATTGATAGATCAGTTGGGCCTGATTAATGTAGTGACAGAGGATAGTCTTGTTTGCGTTAGCACTCAGATAAAAGGCATTCTCCAATAGAAATGTTGCCTATTAAACTTTTTGCCTTGTTGCTAAGATTTTATTTCAGGTTACATAAAGGAGATTCATGTCTCTTTTATTTGCTGTTTTAATAAAAATCAAGGTTATAAAAGGTATAATAAAAGGTATAACAAGGGTATAATACACTAATTATAAACGTATACTTGAATGAAAAGGTAGACATTTTCTTTATGGATTGACTACAGATAATGATTTCTGCTTCCAAATATAAATAAAACCTGATGTTGTGTTAAAGGATCTATATTTTTGATCATTTGAACTGAAAATGTGATTTTCAGGTACTTTTATTTATAATAACTATTGAAAAATAGACTTTTTTCTCTTCTTTTTGTTTTTTAATTAACTTTTTATTGTTGAAAGTATTACATATGCCCCCCTTTTTCCCTCATTGACCTCCTCCAGCCCGCCCCAGACCCTCACAGCCCCATTGTCTGTGTCCATGGGCCATGCATATATGTATACAAGGTCTGTGGTTGATTACCTCAAGATTTCACACTCTATTCTATGCTTCCATATCTCTGGATCTACTCCGTTCATCAGTTTATTTTCTTACTTAGATTCCACGTATGAGTGAGATCATGTGATACTTGTCTTTCTCTGACTGACTTATTTCACTTTCTTGCTTCTATTTTTAATACAGTAGTCCCACCTTATCCATGGTTTTCGCTTTCTGGGTTTAGTTACCTGTAGTCAGCCACAGTCTGAAAATATTAAATGGAAAATTATATATAATAATTTATATACAATATATAAATTCTTTACTTAATATATTTTGAAAGAGATCATGTCCACATAACTTTTATTACAATATATTGTTATAATCATTCTATTTTATTTTAGTTATTGTGGTTGATCTCTTATTGTCCCTAACTTATAAATTAAACTTTCTCATAAGTAAGCATGTATAGGAAAAAAACATAGTAATGGGTAGGGTTTGTTATTATCTGAGGTCTCAGGCATCCACTAGGGGTCTTGAAAAATAATCCCTCTTGGATAAGGGAGGAATACTGTATTTACTTGATACATCGGTGATGATTATTCCTGCTGGCCAGCCATGAACCAGCATTGTGTCTTTCTCATTCAGAAACGTTACGGTTAGTCTTTTAGTACATTTGGTACTTGGTTTTGAAGGTAAGGAAAGAACAGAAAAGTTTCTAATGGTGAGCTAAGTTGTTGATTATTCTTATCTTTATAGATTTACCTTTAGTTTAAAAAATCTGTTTAAAGCAACCTTTGTAGGACATTTTAAAAGAGCAGTGTTGCTAGTTAAAGAGAAGAGTAATAAATCAGTGTTGTTATAATTGAAAACATTTTTGAGCAGGTATGAGTATCAGCATTTTATAGATGTTTTTCACGTTTTATTTTCAGAAAATATTATGAGATAGTATTGATATCCCTACTTCATAAATGAGCAAACAGGAGATTTACTTCCCAAGGTCATATAGCTAGTGGAGAA